GCGCGTGAGCGGCGACACGATGGCGTGCGTGTTGCCGTATCGCCCGTACTTGCGGCTGAAGTGGCCTTCGAAGAGATCGCCGCGCACCGACGCGCGGTAGACTTCATATTTGCGGTTCAGGCTCCAGGGCATCGGTATGGGATTGGAGGCTTCGCGCACGGGCTGGCATTTTGAGGATCTGGCGAAGAGGGCGAACTTGTGGTTTTTCCAGAGGGCGGTGAGGAGGTTGGTTACAAAGAGGAGGGGCAAGACGATCAGGGCCATGTGACTGAGGTTGAAGAGGGCAATGTGGGCCGTGGCGTGGGCTGTTGCTGAGACGGCGGAGGCGTCCAGAGTGGAAGAGATATTGTTAATGTTGGGAAGGAGGGAAGGGAGGATTTGGGATTCTGTGAGGTTGTCCATCTTGCTGGCATGTATAACCAGAACAGGAATCGCGGTATTACTTGGGATCAGGCAAAGTCGACTTTGTCGGTCTGGTGATGCTGAGCAGCGCCACGGTGAAGAGAGTCGATGGGGCATGTCCCTATTCTTTTATATTCCTGTTATACCTGGGTCCACGGTGCTATCTGCTTCACTGGTCCTCAAAAGTACTCCGCGTGACCTCGTCCTGTCGACTGCAGATGTGACTGCAGATGTGACTGCCGATATCCCCCACTGCCCAGCCCATGTAAGTCGACCGACCTACCGTATGCCCCTTCAGTTTGTGGCCCCCAGAACGCCCTGACGGTGAGTAATGACCAGCGTAAGGAACAAGATACAAGGCCCTTCCCGCTCCCTGCCCTGCTGCTACGGGTACGCACTAGTCTCGTGCGTATTCCGTACTACTGCACGCTACACTTTATCTCCGGGCTAGATGAAGTGCCACACACACACTGCACTTGGACAGTCGTTGGCTATACAGGCGCCAAAGTCACATTAGCGAACGCAATTGGAGGGACCTTTATCTCGGATGTTTCGGGGACCAATGTTAATTCTTTATGCAAGATTTCACTGTCATCACGGTCACAGTATTGAAGATAACGTCTAGATCTCATCCTTGATAGGGCAGGTTTTCTTTCTATGCAGTCATACGACAATTGTGGAAGCGTAGAAGGTGTTGACAACAATATTGTGATGCATCATCGTGGATCTGAAAGGAAGAACTTCAGCGTTTGCCGACATAATATTGCTCATGCTTATAGCAAGTATGTGTAACAACAAAAGACTCTCATTCGTACGACACCACTCACATGCAGCAGCCACAGTGTCGCTCTATTGGACCCAGGTCCGACGCGGTATTAAAAGATCGTCCTAGACTAGTGTGCCGTCCTACCAAGACATAAAATAGGGGGCCGTACCTCGGACTTTTATATTCGCAAACACCTCGGACTTTTTGCTAGTGTATCTCGCATGCCTTACGGAATACATGTTACCAAATAAACGGTCTCGAATCTCAAGCCTCATTCTAGATCTCGAAAGATGCCTCGTGGCCCGAACCGAGATGCGGCACGATCGAGTCGACGACCCCTCTCCCCCACGCCGCCAAGGAGATAAGGGTCCAGTCCCTTAGAAATACCCAGCCGATATGTGATCCTTTCGCTTGGGACAGCATGTGGAGATTCCCCGCTGAAGAGGATGTGTGATGGTTATTATGTACAGCCGTTTCCTGCTGGTAATAGTTACTTATCATAACTCACTCGGCCGGGTTGGCATGTGCCGATTCTGAAAATTACTCACTTGCCCACCACCTCTATCCCAATCCTTCACAATGGGCAGCAGCCGAGAAGAAGAAGCCAAAGCGGAGGTGTTTCATGAGTCGGACGTGCCGTATGCTCTTGATCGTGCGGGTTATACCGCCTCTGGCAGGCAAGTAAATACACCACCTTAGCTTAATTACCGCACTTGCACATCTCATCTGCACATCAGTTACTGATAAGCTAATGCATGCTATTACGATAACTAGACTGGTATTTCAGCATTACTTGTGGAATGACATAACCGGGAATCTCATCCATCCCGATATCTTGGCCGACTTGACGGCAACAACCACGCCTACCGACAGCGATGTCCAGCTCAACGTCGCCGATGTTGGAACAGGCACCGGGTGAGATTCACCATATAACAGGAAAACCCATTGTTACTAACCCGTCATTTTTCAAGAGTTTGGGCTTTAGACGTTGCCCGCCGGTCAGGCACGCACGGGATCAAGTTCAACGTCCACGGGTTCGACATCAGCGACGACCAGTTCCCGCCAGACTACTTACTGCCTTCAAACTGCCTTCTGAGTGTCTCAGACGCTCTTGCTACGCCGCTCGAAGAACTGCATAGCACCTTTGACATTGTCCACATCGCCCATTTCGCATGTGTCAGGGCGCTCGGGGAGGACCCAAGCCCGGTTATCGCCCACGCCTTGGCCCTGTTAAGTACGTGTTTCTCACATAAACGCTTCGATCAGTGACTGACAGACCGGTACAGAGCCCGGAGGTTGGATCCAGTGGGACGAATGGGCACGCGATGACCAAGGCAAGGTCCCGTTGGTCACCCAGGCGCCGAGTCCACGATGCGATTGGGTACTGGATGTGTCGAGCAAGATCTTTCCCAGGTAATTACTGCGTCCCGTCCCATCCCCATTAATCTGATTTGCATCGAGTGCTGGTTCTGATCAACGCAAATAGATGGCTGCTCGACATAGCGGGACACCTGTCAAAGCATGGCATGCTCGAAGCTGCCCGCCATGACTCGGAACCTCCCGATTACCTGCTCCCTGGTTGCACCATGATGTGGTACCTCACAGCCGACGAAGTGGTGCGGTTCGGGTTCGACGAGCCCACGAAATCTGCGTTTCTGGATGCTCTGATGGTGGCGTATGCGGAAACGAGGGACAAGTCCATCACGGCCATGTTCAAGACTTGTTCGATGTCAGTTGTTGGAAAGAAGCCGAAATGCTAGTTGTGTATCTACTGTTTGAGCATGCGCAACCGAGTGCGGTATCTGACTTATCGGTAGTGTTCGCTTTCTTATTTTGAGCCAGAAGCAGCTGCGAAATGTGAATATGATGCCGCGTACAGGTTCCTCTCATAGCAGGGGCATCCTATCTGAGTTGGACATGGAATACCCCTTTGAGGCTGGCAAGATTGCTGACGTCCATCCACATCATATCACACGCGTTTAACTTGCGCCTTCGTGAAACTTGACGACAGCGCTAAGCCGCCTCCCTCTTTGGGGCTGAACAACGCCCTTTGCTGCAAGGCAGCCATCTGGACTCAGGGCGGTGGCGCAGCGTCTGCTCCTATAAAGTGAAAGAGTCCGAGGAGCGCGACAGACCAGGTCGAACCACTTCAGTTTGATCTCCTCATACCAACTTGAGAAGGAAACAAAAAATGGCCGGAAGCTTACCCAGGGAGCCACTTCCAGCGCACCAAAACCTCGAACCCCAAAATCGATTATGGGCGTCCGCCGTGGATGTTGAAGCCCAACCTGTCTCTCTCGGGTGGGGGCTGTTCTCCAACGAAAGGGGGCGAGAGTCAACCGAGGTAGGTACACGTCCATAACCCTTCTCCTATCTCTACAGCCTACGGTCAGAAGTATCTCTGAAACTCTTGGCCTTGGACCGATATATAGTGGATGACGCAACTGGAGTCAATCGGTCTCATGGTCGAAATATTGCTCGCTGTATTATTGCCCTCAATGCAGCTACTTACGTCGCTCTTGTTAACAAAAGAATATCAGCTACCGCATACAACTCCCAGAGCAAGTTCCGACAGATTTTTAAAGCTGTTGTCACCCGAACAACTGGTTCTTTGCGTCAGGCTTTGGGAATTATCGGATCGCGAATTTGGGTCTAGGCTTTCAGAGTATATGGAGACGCTGACTGACAGCGATGTCGATGCTTGCATTGATGATCTGTCCACCAGTAACTACGAGGACCTCATTGGCGGCCGCTACAGATGTTCAGATCTTCCATCGAGCACCTTGCATTTGTAGCAAAGGCGACCAACTTGACAATTCCCAAGAGATTCGACTACTGCTCTACTTACCAAGAGTATATCGGAGCTGCTGTTGAGGAGTTGGACAACCGTAGGAGGCTGCACCAGGCATTGGAAAGAGCTTATAAACTTGTTTTACTCACGAGGAAGACGAAGGAGGACAGAGCTCTCGATTCAGCGACGCTGACAAAGCTTAAAACGAGACTTGTGGCTCTGCAAGGAGGCCGCGACTATTCCGACGCGTGTGGGGCGTTATACGGAACTCGTCGGCGTCTTTTTGACCAGGGATGCCGAAGAATGGTGGTACTTTTCGTTCAGAGGATACCCCGTATGGTCACCCATGTTGCTTACTGGGTGATTACACTAGGAGACCTCCGCACGATAGGATTAGCGCAAATCTCAACGCAGGTACAATCCACTCGACCCTGAACTTCATCGTGCCCACCTGCTGTGTCTTGTCATGCATCCCGGCGTTTCTGGCGTGGAGATGTAGCCCACCCCAAGCTGGCACCACTTCAGATCCAACCTTCTACGAGCTTCTGACGGGATTCGCCCTGCAAGCAGTCGGACTCGGCACAACCATCTGGCCAGCTCTGTCCAGCACCAAGTTAGCTTCCATCCCTCAAAAGTACACGATAGCCTTGGCTGTAGCAAGCGCCATCTGCATGGCTGCAAGCGCGCCAATGTATTTCTTAGTGTCTTCCGGCTGGGGCCCGCCACTTTTATTCTTTGGGGCTGTGGCTCAGGCGTTCATCAATCTTTCAGATCGTGGGGGTGTTATAAGTTCGAATAGAGGCTGGTGATAGCCGAAGGAGAATTCGATGCTGGGGGCTAACATAGCAAAGATTACAAAACCACAGGATCATTACTGGAGCGATAAACCGATCTAATAACAAGAACCTCTTGTGCAGTTTATTACCTTAGGTACTCCACCGAGGTTGATCTCATCTCCACTCTTTTGTCCTTTTTCAACCTCTCACGCAATCACAATTTGCATCTTCGGTTCTCCACATGCCTGGAGAAAAGAATATGAGCGGGTACATGGTCTAGTGGTATGATTTTCGCTTCGCATAGTTTTCGTCACGAGATTAAGCGATCCTGTGAAAGGTCCCCGGTTCAATCCCGGGTGTATCCATGTTTTTGCTCATCCTGCCTGACCTCAACGACAGCAGAGAAACCAGTTTTTTTTAAGGTCCGCCCTTCCAGAACGAACGTTCTGGACAGGCAGACAGACACGCAGAACACCAAAGCTTGGTAGATGTGATTGACAGATCGTCGTGATTTGACGGTGCCTCAAGGCTGCATCAGGTTGGACCCGGGGGAGTTAAAGACAGGCGGAAACCTGAGTGCCTGTGGCACAGCCAAGTATTCCGTGCAAGGCAGACTTTGTCGAGCCGCAAAGGTCGGCGGATCAAAAAGCGGAGGCATCGGCGCCCTCCCTAATAAACACCATGCTCGATCATTAACATGCCTCCGTCAAACCAGCATCCAAAACAGACTCGGTTTACAGAACACGCAGCTCCCTCAGCTCAGCTCCAGTCTTTGCAGTTTCCAAAGAATACAATAAGCCAGATCGCTCGACTCGTCACACGCAATGGCGCCGGTCAACCTCTCCAGCGGAATCCTCCACTTCGGCAACACCTGCCCCGGAACCTTGATGCAACGCCTCCTCCGCGAAAACCGCAGCCAGGTCCAAAAGATCAAGAAGCTTCAAACCGCCTTCTCCCTACACCCCAGCAACTGGGGCTGTCCCATAGGCGCCCGGGACGCTAGCGAGGTAACCCAGTTCATCCAAGCCATCCCCAGGCTCGAAGAGCTCGACATCTACAACTACGTGCAGAACTTCGACGTCCTGTGGCCGGCCATCTTCCACCACGCCGCGTCACTTGGGAGTCTTGCCATCCACAGCCCGCCTCAATTCGTGCCGAAACCCGGCGGCATATGGACGGCTGAGGCTGTGAAGCGCGTGGCGGATGAGCTTCTGCAGCTTCGACGCCTCGATATGGACATCGACACCGATACGGCAAAAGCAGCCGTCAAGGCAATCACTACCGGATCCGTCCTTGACGAAGTCGCCAACATGAGCCAGCTCAAATCTCTCCGCGTCAGCATTGTGCTCCTTGATACCGAGTCGATCTTCGCAGGGGATAACAAGCCCAACGCGTTTGGGTCCCGGATGCCGAATCCGAATGATAGCGTCTGCATGAATCTGGCGCGGAAGATTTTCAACAAGTTCCATGAGAAGGATGCAGGCGCGGCGCTGACCGAAGTCGAATTACGCTTAACGAGGCGGGCTTGGGAGGATCGTGGCCAGTTTAGCACTATGAAGTACTCGTACCTTGCGGTGAAGAAGGGTCATGTTGCGGAGCCCTCGAAGAAGAAAGCGGGTGAGAAGGGGAAAGTCCCGGCGGTCAGGAGGTATAATCTCCGTTCTCAGGCTCCGGTTCCGCAGCCTCACCAGGACAACCAGCCAGATGTTAAGGTCACAGCCGAGGGCCCATGGAGGTGTTGTCAACCTGCCTGCTCCTCAAATGTGGAAAACATCATCAAAGTGCTAGTATATGAGCCCGTATACAGCAGGTACCTTTGATCCGTCCCCCCCGGCGGTAACTTCACCAAATACTTTGTCCAACTTCCACCGGTACCTTATGCTTGCAAACCATCACCGCCTGCCTCACCACCGCATCTCCCAAATCCTCCTCAATCTCCAACCTCGGCAGCTTCCACCGAATCATATTCGCCCTACTAGGTAGATCAAGATATACCAAGTATGAGCTTAGCTACAATATATGTGTTTTCTTTTCCAGACCAAAACCTGGCAAGTAATTGCATTGACGTTTAAATCATGGTAACGTTAGAGGTATATTTACAAGGTACTGACTCGCTACTATTGTTGTAAACATATCTGGCTGTTTAGAGCAGTAGAAATCTATGTTCAAGACTAAGAAACTGCTTGAGAGTGAAGAACCAAACGGGAAATGAAAAAGACAACGTCCACACCCCCTTCTCCCGCCCCCCCCCCCCCCCCCCCAAAAAAAAAAAAAAAAAAAGAAAAGGAAGAAAATTATGCTCAAATAACTGATACCTCCGCCCACCTTCCTTTCTGGAGAATTTACCATGATCATCAAAGTGCTGATTACACATGGCCCCCATCAACGATTTCCAAGTCTGGTAAACCGTACACCTTTACAGGCTATCAAGGCCGACGCAAAAGTGCGGCGACGAGCAGAGGACTTAGTAACACCCTCATCCTGCAGGTACCCAGGCGCCACTGACGCACCAAGGTGCAGGCAGCAGTATATACAGCTATGAGATCATACAGATTTTCAGCTATAACACTCCAGACTCTCTTCGATGATGGACTCTTTCGATCGCGCTCATCAGACCTCACTTGATTACACAGAACTTATTCGTATTCCATTTTCTCACACACAAAATGCCTCCCCCTCGTCTTCCCTGTCTCCTCTTTTACCTCCTAGCCGTCTTCACCACCTTAACAACCGCGGCTCGTACACTCAACACCACCGTCCGCCCTATAGACCCAAACATCACGCCAACGCTCGTCTTTATCGACCGCATCCCAGGTTACTCCCAACTCCCGGCATGCGCCGTGTACCCGCTCAACACTCGAGTCAGGCTCATGTGGAAAGGTTGCGGTGACCAAAGACACTCGACTTCATACACGTGTATGTGCACCGACAGCTACAGCGAGTTCGTCACCGCTATCTCAACCGACGTGGTGTTCAAATGCAGCACGGGCGGTGCCGACGCCGGCGCGACGGCAGAGGCGCTGGCGACCAGCGCGGTCGATATCTACAACAGCTATTGTGCGGACGGGACGTCGCAGATCACGAATGGGGTTACCATTCCTACGGCAAAGCCGGAGAGTAGTAGTACATCTTGTGAGTTATTGGGAAATAATGTTGATCAAGTTGAATTAATGCCGGCCGAACTAACGTGAGACTATATCAAAGCTCCTTTGGTGATTACATCTCCGCCGGGGCAGCCGGCTACAACTGGTGCAGTGGACACTCAAACATCTACTTCTGATGCGGATGGACACCTCATTTCTCCAATGGATATGGTTCTGGCGTTGGTTTTGGGTTGGACTCTTGCGGGCTGGTTCGGAATGTAATTATTCAGAACAAAGTCTATGGCCATTACAAAGAACCTCTGGCAAACAATATCGTTCATTCTGTCATTGTGAACTGGACTTAGCCCCTATAACCATGAATCTACCTAAGGATCTACCTTATTTGCTTGAGAATCGTTCCTTCTTACTCCCCGCCACGGAATCTCCATCCCGGCAGCTTGGCATCGTCCAATACCCCGAGTCGGCCGCAACGCTGCGGCTGTCAGTACCAACCTCGAGCCCTTCAGGGGGAGCATGGTGTTCCTCTTTCCGGATACTAGAAGCAGTGGTGCCAAGAAAAGCCTCAAGGTCGAAAGAATCAAGCCCCTGAAGAAATGAGTCGGCGTCAAACTTCTCAAGGTCGTCAAAGAGATCAGACGGCTGAAATGCCTTGTCCGCCGCGATAGATTTGGACGAATCCAACGGATCCAGGGTACCTGTGTTAAGTACAGCGTCTCTGACGGTCGCTGGGGTTTCTGTTGCTGTTGCTGCACCCTCCTCGTCGTCGTCATTTCTGTCATCCCGATCTTTTCCTTCTCCGGTGTGCTTGAGATATCCCATACGATATAGCTGTTTTGAGCCGACCTCGTGGATCAACTCGGCGACCCTCGCCGGCATGGATTCCTTCATCTTGCCGATCATAAGATCAACCTCTCGTTCTATAATGGGTCTCAACATCCGTGAAATGCCGTCTTGTATCCTCTTCTTCGTTTCCTGCAGTGTTTCCGCTTCATTTTGCCTAACTGTACTATTGATCTCCTCGGGTGTTTCCATGTCTGAATTATAAGTAGGTGTAAGCATTGTGGCATGGTTGGCATGGTTGGCATTTGCCCTCTTTGGATCGGGCTGTTCACGTGGGCGGCAGAAGAGATCGGATGCTGAGATACTTACACGAAGACGGAATATGAGTAGCGTCAGGGAATATAATCCGGTACATTTCAGTCCAGCGGTCTTCTTCACTGCCTTTGTATCTTTTGCGTAGCTGCTTTTCCTGGTTCTCGTCGATAGTGCAGGAAAAGTCGCCATCATCACCTTCATGAACTCGAAGCTTGCAAGGACTGGGTGCTCGTTTGTGGACGTCCAATGCTTCCTTTCCGTCGAACTGCTCCAGGCAGCGAGGACAACTAGGCTGCCTGACGTGACGACGATACACATGTTCACTGAGAAGTAAATAATGGATCAGTATTTGATCGTGGGTTTAGAACAAAAGGGATGAAGCTTACCGCAATCTATGAGTGGTGGTCCATCCTGGACCGCAAGATGTGCGCACATCTTTGTTCTTCTCTGGGCAGTTGTTGTAAAACGGACAAGCAAATTTCTTCTCAGCAGTGGAGCCGGTCTTGGAGCGTTTTTGCGACTGTGCTCTGTCAGTGCTGGTGTTCTCAGTACCTGCTTTTTGTTTCCACGACCGCTTTCCAGTGTTTTTGCCTTTCCGCTGTCGGCTTGACTGCTCCGGGGTATGGCCTGTGGCAGTAACGTGAGGCACTAGAGTTCTCTTGTCACCGACCTCGCCTCCAAGGGCAATGTCGGGAATGGGTTCGTCCAGTCTTGGACCAAGGTCAAATAGACAGTCGATGTGGTGTTGAAGGTCGTCCAAGCAATCGTCAAGAGTCGCTTCTCCTTCATCGCAGCCCGCGTCGCTCTCGTTGTCGCTGTCGTCATCCGGGTTATCCAGTAAACTGAGACGTACATTTTCGACCTCGACCTCGGAGAACAGATGTATGACCTCAAGGTCTTGCAACACGCCGGCATGTTCAATGACTGCCGAACTGTAAGTCACTTCCGACTTTGCTTGAAGACAAAGGCTGGAACGAACATACATTTTTCTAAACTCGCATGCAAACGTACGAGCACCCCGAGAGTGAAACAGCGTAGATCTGTACAGACGTTGAGTTGACTGTCAAGCTTCCCATTCAAGACTTCGTAGTCATCTCCCCACACCGACAGAGAGGTAAACTGGCTTCGCAATTGTTGATGCTGCGGTTTCGATAGGGCTAAATCTA